AAAGGCAAACTCATTTCATTTCATTTCACGCCAAATGGCCAAGTGCTTCTTCCAAAGCAAGCCTCAAGCCTCAAGCCTTGCTTCGCCATTTCACCAGTGCCCAACATCACTTGCGGCTGATCAAGTTTCCATGTGCCAACTAAAAGCAGGCTTTGGGATTGGCCAGCCAATGCCAACTCGGTTGCTGTGTCGAAATGCATCATCAGTCGTGATTGAGCATTTGTACCAATCGAGACCTGTTCGTGAATGCCCACAGACGTCAAAGCAAGCTGCTTGTCTGTGCTCAGGAATGTGCGTCATCGACGTGCGTCATCGACGTTGGCGCTTGTCAGCGAAGAGGACACGAGCACAAAACGCCACCGAAATTGGTTCGCGCTGCAGACGGTCGAGACAGACAGCTCCCAGCCAAAAGGCACAATTGAGCCAACACGCGCCTGCCTCCGCTGGCCGGTCAGGCTCAACGCGTCTTGGCGCAAGGCGAACCGATCGATAGAATGGAAATTGAAAATGAACCTCGATGGTCGTGTCGATCGATCGATCGATGATTGTTGAATCAGAATTCGGTCAGCCTAGTTGGTTGACGCAGTGCACGAGACGTGCGCCGGTTCTTTCATATTTTCACACTCTTTTAGACTCAATTTAGTATGTCCTTCTGGTGCTTGCCCGATGCTCAATTGTAACGCTGTACGTTTCATTATCATCTGATGCTCGAGACATTGTTTTGAACATATTATGCACATTTATCACAACCACAGTTTCTACACATTTATCAGCACTAAGAACTTGCGAATTTGTTTTAAGTTAATATGATTACACTAAAATTGTATGCATATGTGCTATTGCGTGTAACTTAAAAGCCCTCTTGTAATCGATGTGTTAAAATTGTATATATCCCCTAATGTTATGACTTTCATTTCATATGAAAGTGCACGAAGAAGAGATTCGCTGGTCGATCTGACCAGATGAGGACGGATGAATCGCGTTGTACTGCAGCAGTTTGGCTTTGATACGAAGTTCAGGTTGACGCAGTCCACGAGACCTCCTCTCTCGTTTCGGGTTGACACGTGCTGAGTTGTCGTCCATCAAATCATGGACATCATCAAAGCTGGGTGTCATTCTTGTAAAAGTCTCACGTTGTCACTAGACCAAGAACACACTTTATCTAATATATATCGATCTATCTGGGT